CTATAAGTGACTTCGGCCTTTAAGACCGCGACTTCGCTTCCGCCGCAACAGCGGGCACATCCATCGGCAGTACTAGTTCATTTAGTTTTTAGTTGTTTTGCTATGTGTGCTTTTTTTATCTTTTTTTTTTACTGATAAAAGAATCACTCCGAGGATCATAATGGCGTTACATTATTTACATCGTAAAAACCAGCCGATCGATTTATTTGCCGCCGGTATATTATTATGTTAAAAAAAACGAAAACGACGTAACGTTTATAACATATTTACCCTGAATAGTTAAAAAAAAAAAAAAAAAACTAAAATTTACCGAACGAGACGCGGCCGTCGTCGCGAATTGCCTATACGCGACCCCTTGTAAAACACTGACTGTACTGTGGATTTTTTTTTACGATCTGCGAGCGCCAAAGAAGTACATGTTGGCGAAAACCTCGATCTACTGAACTATATTATTAATACAGACCCGAGTTCTGGACGCGAAACACCGGACGCGTCGTATTATCATAATATTGTTATAAAGTTGTTTCGGCATGCATGCATATTAAATAGGTACCAACCGAATAATTATTACCTTATCGACCGGTTTGTATAATACCGACCGCGTCATAATATTATTACGTCGTTCGTTTTTCGCGGCGAACGGATCGCACTTTCCGATCGTTCGGGAATGTTATTCGAACACCGCAAACAACGCGGCCGTACGAAAACGTCACGACGCAATTGGTAATGATTGCAGCGAGATATCCGGTCGAGTAAATCGGCCGACAGACTTGGAACGTGCCGCATCACGTGAAGGGTCGTACAGGAGGAAAGAACAAAAACAAGAGAAGTGACTTTTTCCCGAAATGCCGATGTTTTGTGCTGTGTGTTTTTGAACGGCCGCGTACTGTATATTTTACGCGATCGAACACGCGAAAAAAACCAGATTAGCCGAAGCCATGGGCGCCTGAAGTTTAAGAGTACGGGGTAAAGAAAACAGACGAGTCAACACAGGGGAAGAACCAGACAAGTGTTCGGTTAACACGCGGCTACACAGCCGTGGTTAATAACGTAACGTCATTGGGTTGCGGTTACTGCAGTTCAAAATTTAATATTTAAATTCATCCGAACTATTTATTATGCAAAAAAAAAAAAAAAATCGTTACGTTTTGAAATTAAAAACATATTTTTCTCAGATTTAGGAAAAGTGACTTTTTCTGATTTTTTCCCCGTACCATTCACAATATAGTAAAACCACCAATGTCGGCCCATTCCTCGCGTTTCAGAAGAGAGACAGAGTGGACCGTATCCTCCGAAGTTTTAAGAACGATTAATGTATATTTTTTTCTATGAGTCACCGAAAAAGTCTTCCGATTGCATTTCAATGATTTTAAATATTTGTTATGTTCACTATGTCGGCTTGACACCAGGTCGGCAGTGGGTACACACTGATTGGCTGCGATAGCAAAGTCGGCGGAAAATCCAGTATGACCACAAAAAAAAAAAAAAAAAAAACGCCTTTTTTGCCAAGCAATTGAGAAATATTATAATAATACGTAAAATTTAATCGTTCCGCGTTATCGTGATGACGGTATAATAATAGCGTTATTACGTTTGTCAAATTGGTTTCATTTAACCTAATAAAAATGTCGACGCGCTATATTATTCCGTAAATAAGAAAACGTATTACATTTTTCGTTCTATTATTAACGTCTGCGTTGCCTCGGTTTTTTTTTTTTTTTTTTTTAAAAAAAAAAATCGGTCGAGACGCATCCTTCACTGTTATTCGTCGAATGTAAATTCTAGACGCGGTCTTCTTCATCAGAGAAACCGACAGATATCACTGTAATACACCGTACCGGAATACACATTATGCATGTAATCCGGTCACTACCTGACGTATCATAATAGACCGGCGTCATCGGTACGATCGATAAATGCGAATTCCGTAACCGAAACCTAAAACACGAAAAACCTCGGCACGCCAGACTCCGGTTAGTATCGCGGTAGACGCATTCGCGTAAAAAAAAAAAAACCAACTTCCGGATCGAGATGGGGGAGCTGGGACCTCGACCCTCCCCCCCCAGACTGTAGATTGTATACGAAAGCTTTTATTTCCACAAACAGCTAATTGATACACGACGTTCGCGAAAGAAAACGACGAACGCACATCCTGTGTCGATTGTACTGTGGCGTATTTTTTAAATTTTTTTTCCCGTCCGCTAACAAGTTTCTACCGGAAATCTCGGTCCGACCGAAAACTAAGACTCGGCGACGGTGGTTTACCGTCGCCTGCACGTGTATAAATCGAATAACTTTACGTGTCCCGTCTTCCGGGAGCACCGCCGTGGCCGGTATCGCCTCCGCAGTTTTCTTTATCTTTCCTTTCGCCCCCGATTGGCAGTAATTTTGTCCGGAGGAAGCCACCCACCCAACCCCCCGGTTCCCCGATTCCCCCCGGTTCAAATTCGACACCGGACCGCCCTGTATTCGGTACGGCGGTACGATTTCCAAAAACGTCAACCGCGGCCGAACGAGTTTTCATCGATTACGACGCGCGAAAAACGGTACAACAGATTAGTTTGCGGCGGACCGCGCGATGAATACCGCGGAAACTGTTGTTGTCTCGTTGCGGACGCGAGAGCGAATTTTTTTAAAATTTTTTTTTTTCTTTTTTTTCCGCTACACGCGCACGTTGTCGTTAAAATTAATTATTCATAATAATACGCCGCGGCACGTTTCGCGGTCAAGGCCGCCGGCGGACAGTGTATTGTCGCGACGGCAACAATACGCGCGCGGAACCCGGGATATCATACGCCTTTTTGAGATACGCGACGATTGATATCGCGGTCTCGTATCGTCGCGGGGAAACGGCAACGCGCGGGGTACCGGGGCCTCGACGAACAGGCCGGGGCCGCGAAAAAGAAAAAAAAGAAAACGGACGGTTTCGTTTCGCGAGGTCCCCCTGACCGCATGACACCAGGCCGCTGCTCAGTTTCCGCTGCCGGTCCCTGGTCAAAATATCCGCGGACCCGGGTAAAAACGTCTCCTGTTTTTCCGCCGGCTGTCCGGACGCCGTCGACAAACGGGCGATCGAACAATAACGCAGCGACGGAACGATCGATCGATTTTCAAACTTAGTCGGCGATTAAAATTCGATAAAATCGATTTGTCATTGATTCGCGACAATCACGAGCGTCCAGCAATTTAGAAATTAATTGCGCAAACGCGTTTGGAAAATCAGCCGACGAGACGAAAATAGCACTGCGTGAATTGTATCTGTACTGGGCGTTGGTTTTTATTCCGTTAAAACTCTTCGAGTACCGGATAAGTTTCGAGAATACTTTTCTCCCGGTCTAACACGAGTTGAAAATGCGAGTTCGGGTGCTGGGGGGAGTGGCTCACTTTGGCCGTTAATTCCAGTGCGAGCTCAAGTCAATCGATAAAAAAAACCCGTACATGTTGCCGGAAACCGGATAGGTAAGGGAGATGGGGAGGGGGGGGAAGTGCGATTTGAAAACGTCTACGAAATGACGAAAATAATTTTTAAAATCCGACGATTACATTCCGGATTGTTACGGTCCGCGAAAAAATCATTCGCAAGGCGTATTTTCCTGTGTTTACGTTTCCCTTACCGGATATTTCCTCGGTTTGTACGCGTTCTCGTTTTACACCGGCAAAACCGGTATACTTTGTAGCGATAACTCTCGGAAAAGTAAAATTAAAAATATAAATGTGTACGTTTTATCGTCGGACGTGAATTGTACTCTGTGCGAGGGCCGGATCAGGTATGTATTTACTGACAATTTGCCGGAAATTGAGGAGCGTGGCCGCGGGAAATTAACTAAACTTAAACTAACCAACTTTCAGGAAACCCATAGCGGTGACTAGTCTTTCAGATGTTTTTTTCTATCGCGCATGTTATTGTTTTTGAAAATATTGTACTTGGAGGGTTTAAAAAAAAACTGTAACCTCTTCTCCCTCCTCATACACACACAAAATATTATTCTATGCGTGTGCCTGTTCAGTAAAAACAAATCGAAACACATTCTGAATACACACGGTGTACTCTAACAGGTATTAATATTAATAACACATTTAATTGTCGGAGCGATTTTAAATACAAACATTTTTTTTAATAGGTTTTTAACACATTTTTGGCGGTGGATAGAGTGGACGAATTTGACGAGAATAACCCAATAAAAAAAAAAAAAAAAAACACGATACAATTACTAATCGGAGATAATTTACGAGTAATTAACGCGTTATGGGATTTTCCTGATAAAATTTGCAGTCCGTGCGTTACGATAACAATACGCTGTACGAATTTAACAGCAATATTATAAACAGTGTTTAATATTAAAAATGCACGTTTCGATAGGTTGAACGATAAAAGCCTTTTGGATGGGAGACGGGAATTCCTCATGCCGCTCCTTCTTATAAAGGCTACTGTATTCACGGTAAAACTCGATCGGACAGATATTCGAATACGGATATCGGAGCGCCCCATACAAGAATTAACGCCAAACCAAAAAATACCGAAAATTAAAATTCGCGTAATACTACGCCGTTTATTACGGCGAGTGTTTCGAAGTGCCGAGAGTTTTTTCCCTACTGTTTTAGCGTGTGTCGTGTGTACCTGCGTAATATTTGTGTGTTTTACCTTCTCTGTGTTTTTTGCCATGGGAAGCGGCCGAACCGGTGGAAAAGTCGAGAGCGGCCACCGGAGCGGCGGCGGCGGAAGTGTCTGCCGGCCCCAAAGCGACGGCGGGCTGACCGACGCCGGCCGCCCGCTGCAGTCCCAGTATGGCGTCTATGGTGAACGGCTTGCACGAGGGCCTGGGCGACGAAGAGCTGAGGCCGCCGTCCGACTCGGCGCTGTCCCGGCTGGCGGTCCTAACCGCGCCGTTGCCCGCCATGGCGTACGTCTGAAAAGCGCCGGCGGCCGCCGCCGCTGCCGCCGCCGCAGCCGCCGCCGCCGTCGCAGCCGCCACCGAGGATCCGGCGCCGCCGCCCCGGTGGTGGTGATGTCTGACGGGGTGATGGTGATTGTGATGGTGGTGGTGCTGCTGCTGCTGCTGCTGTTGCTGCTGCTGCTGCTGCTGCTGCTGCTGATTGTGCTGTTGCTGGTGCTGATGGTACCGGTTCTGCTGTTGGTGCAGTTCGAGCAATTGCGACAGAGCGGTGTTGTACTCCTGGAACAGCGGGTTCTGCAACATCATCATCGCCGCTCGCGGACTGTTCGCGCGGGTATACGGGACCGTCGGATTATATTATTATTGTTATTATTACGACGCGGTACGGGTATTATTGTTTATCGCGTGTTGTGGTCGGCGTATTCGCGTCGTGCGTGTGCGATGCGTCGACCTCGAACGGACGTGTTGCGCGCGATCAACTGGCCGCCGTCGACGGCGACGACGGTGGCGTCTGCCGGTCCCGCCGAACGGGCGTGTACGCGAGTGCCCGCGGGCCACGCCCCCGCCCGCCGTCCGGGCCCGCGCTATTGGGCGCACGGCGCGGCGGCGGCGAAAACTCGCGTCTCTCCCTCGCCCCGTCCGGTCCGTTCCGTGTAACGCGCACCCTACCCCTCGCCCGTTGCACCGCGACACATGCGCGCGTCCGACTCCCGGGCGCCGCCGCCACCCCGTAACGTAACGCGCCCGCGCCGCCGCCGGTCATCCGCGAGCCGGAGTGCGTGTGTGCGTGTATTAACTGCACTTTTACCCGATCGCCACCCCCGCGTGGCGCCCGCGCCGAGTGCATACATTTTTTTTTTTTTTTTTACGTCCGCGTGATTATTATTTCACGCGGTTTAATATTCCGCCGCTAATGTATCGGTTTTGGAAATCCGTGGAATTATTTATTTTTTTTTTCCTCCAAGTTTCGTCGCCGTTTTTTTCGGATATTTACCATAAGAATCCTCGAATACGTTTTCGTGCCGTACTGTCAAAGACTTTTCCGCGTGTTCGAAACATTCTATTCCGCGCAGTTTCTCGGGCGAAACCGCGAGAGATTTTAAATTACGGATCGTTCGTAATGTTGCACGGGTGAAACGCGATAAACACAGCATCCTGAACTACGCTCAACTATCGGTGTGACGCGTTTAACATGATGTATGGGTCAGGGACAACGTACTGATGTTTGAAATCGCAGTAAATTACGACGAGTGTTTACACATCGTTGTTGAATTTATCGTTTATCTGTTTTTTCCAGGGCGACGGCGAGGCGTTGCGAAGTTCGCGTCACCGTTCGTCGTCATACATTTTTCAAAACCGCGGGAATTCGATGTTCGGGGCGAGAGTGTTTTCCTCCGAAATTTACACACCGCGTTATATTCTTAGCCGTCCGTTAAAAAAACAATTTAAACAGGTCGCGCGGACCGTGCGGTCACGGCCACTACAATAACTTAGCTACGGCCGTTCGGTTTGTTTTTGTTTTGTGCGCGATTAGTTTAATTTTGTGATTTGATAATCCATAGGCGGGTCAATTAATTCAACGGGTGGTATCAATTGTTATAAAATCATAACTGGGTAGGCATGTACGACATTAAAAATCCATGTTGGTAATATTATTGTATCGAATTTAATAAATTCATCGCACATCACGTATAGTTTTAACATTGCAATATCATATTATTGATTATACGCACCAAAGTTGAAAAAATGAATGACGTTTATTCGCTAGAGCATATGCAAATAACGTGGGTTAGGTATAGACGGAACGGTGGAAGGGCAATGACAATTTCTTGTTGTACTTACAAATTATAACCGAGAAAAATTGAAATTCAAGAAAAACGGCCTCTAGGTGCGGAGGAGGAAAACGAATAGCGGTGAAAACCGATTTTCGGAGGAAAATGGCTATACGCGGTAATATTATGTTGCTCGACGCCGACATGGTTAGAATAGGATTCGGTTTCGTGTCATTGCAGGATGTTAAAGATTATACGGATAGGTTACACTATACACGGGCCTAATACATTGTATACCAGGGTCCAAGAGTAACGGGCATTGTAGGAAAACGCGATCAACGTTAGACCGATGTGATAACGTAGAATTTTGTATCGCTGTTGACTTTATTACAGTGCAGACCTAATATTCGTGGCCGTAAAAATACTACCGACGGCTTCCTATCCATAATATCCGGGCGACGACCAATATGACAGTGGCGTGTATAGAAATTAATTCGAGTGGGGATTATAAAAAAAGCTTTCGGATTTTCGTTAATACATAGATTAAAACAAATTCATAAATACGCACGAGTGCCGTATAACCAACCTTAAATTTCGAATGGGGGGGAGGTTTGAACCCCCCAAACCCTCCCCTATGTACGCCACTGATAAATGTTATCTATACGGTTGCACTGTATATGTATACCCGAGGCGCACCTGTATAGATATGTATACCGATATTATATTTTACACTCGGATATATATTTAAATGTGATATCCGTAGGTGCAACTAGGCCATCATTTTTTAGGGTGCTGAAATCACGCCAAAGACCCGCGGGGGACATGGCCCCCGCACCCCCTACCCCTCTGCACGAATCTTACAATAGGCAAAACTACACGTTTCATTTACAATTTTGTAGGTATTTACAAATTTATCGTAACTGTTTTAACATTATTTTTCATACTCACACGCATTGTCTGTGTATAGGATATCTGTATTTTGTTCTGATGCTCATCAATTATGAAATACGCGGATTTAAATATTTATTCGCTACTATGAGAAAGTTGATTGGGGGGTGCTAAAGATCCCCTAGCAGCCCCCTAGTTGCACCTATGAATTGATATCATCGGTAAATTTTGTACATTTTCGCGGGATTTATCACCATACGTTTCGATAATACGATGATCTTAAAACGGTCGGAAAAAATTATATAAATCGTTGATACATTTGCCAACGGTAAAAAAGGCGTAAAAAAAGTTTTTTTTGACATTGTCGCAAGTGTATTGTAATATTGTCCGCGCAATTATTGCCATTCGTCAATATTACATCTTGTTTTTTATACGCTATGACGTTGTATTGAAATGGTGAAATTATTATTTGACATGTTTCGTAACAAAAAGTTACATTTTAATTGCGCGTGTAACTCGCTGCAATTATCCGTGCACAAACACGTAAGCATATAAAATATAAATAGGACGGTATTGCTTTTGATAATTTTGTTATTAAAAAAAAAAACAAAAAGCGCCTACGGCCCACGACAGTGTTTATCCGGGCCTGCATCTATGTCCGCACCGCTAATTTGTATTTGAATACTGCCCCTACCGAAATCCACCGAAACCCGTTTATAATAGTGCATATATTATTATGACGGTTTTTGTTTTTTTTTATTCCATTAAAGGTTCTATTTATTATATTCCATTGTTTTTTCGACTATAATTACACTGAAATCGAGACAAAAAATATATACCTGTCTGCTCTATCTTAATCGCCCAACGTGCATTTAAACGGAACAGCGGCCCCTCGAAACCGCGCTGTGAACGCGCCACTGCAGCGTATTAGGCGGTGTTCGGCATGAACAAGTTCGAGACGGAACTTTTTTTTTTTTTTTCAGGAGCGGCACGTGGAACGAGCAATTCCTTTTTTACACCAACAAAGGGACGACGAACGGAACAAATCCATTTTTTTTTTTTTTTTTTTGAGGAACCGACTGTAGATAAACACTGGTATTAGGCATTACGAGGTGCCATAACGTCGACAATATTATTATATAGAACGACAACAGCATTCAAAGATGACGTGCATAATACAAATGTTATGTTTATAGGTTAAAACAATTAAATCAATGACTGTAATGATAACGACGAATAAACGACGATGATAATATTGTATTACATGTATACGTATTATTATTATACACGGTCATTGTTGTTCGCGTAAATGCTATTGTGCAGTACATTATATACTATAACGATATTAGGCACATTGTTCAAATTGTCATGTGCCACGTTTAAAAATACGTACTGATATTAATGGCGTACACCTACGTGATAAATCACGATTGAAATATTGTCGGCATACAGCAGGACACAAGAGGCGGTGGTCATATTATTATGTCATTATCGTATAGAATTTTCGTTTCTGATGGTATGACCGATTATCTATTTCGATTGATGAATTGATTGCGGCCACCGTTTCAACTTGACGGAGCCCACCCTCGAGTTCTAGTGTCTTCCGCGTCGTTTGGTTGGCATTGCAATCGATTATTGGCGGGGGGGGGAGGGGAAATGAGGTAAATCAAAAATAAACAATTATCCTCCAAACAGGAAGTAAAAAAAATTGAAATAAAAAAATTGAAATAAATATTTTTCGATTCGCTCTGCAGTATCCACAATATTGTCCTTCGGGTTTTCAGTACCCTCGGAAAATTCGCGAAAAACGATGCGGATAACGTCATGATGCACGAGTATGCGCTTCTCTTATTGCCCACACAGATCAGTGTGTTCGTTTAACAACAACAAATAGCCAACTGTATGATAATAGAATAATAGAATCGGTAGTAATCCGAATACTTTTTGAATATTCTAAATATTTAAAAAATACTTTTTTCCCGAGAATTTTTCGATACCTACTGTATTCCGGATGGCTTTTAAGTCTATCCAATTCCTTAAAATAGAAAACACTTTATCCCAATTTTGTCTTGTTAAACGCTTAACCTTAAGATGTTTACTTTATTTTCTCGGAAAACACTTTTTCGATTAATAGGAATTTATCGATTTGTTCACGCATTACTTCAAAAGATAGGCGAAAGACGTAATTTTCACCCGGCGATACTCGATTTCAAAAATTTTTCAAAATGCCCAACAGTTAAAACATAACAACGCAATGTTAGCTATCATTATATAATATCCGTATAGTTGCCTCGAGTCATCCGAACTTAACCTTTTATTTTATTTTTAAGATATATTCGTTAAATATTATTGTTATAAACAATCCGAGCACATATTCCGAATAATTTTACCCAAGTCTGAACTAAGAGGACAGTTGTGTTTTTAATCAACCCGTGAAATATTTGTTTATACCGCGAATCATGCATTGGCATTAAAAACGGTATGTGGTTAATTTCAAATATTTTCAATTTTTTTTTAGTATGAACAAATGTTTTACGTGTTAATCAATACAATATTTACTTTCGTGTTGGTATACTACGACTCTGTCATGCTTCGGATTCGCTCACAGCGGAATAACGTCTCATTATTGTTTTATAATAACATGTCAGCTATGGTTCGTTCTGTTATCATTCATAGACTTGTATGATGATAATATACTAATATAATAGCCATGATATATAGTCAACTGGCCGACCGCGGTATCAGGGGTTGCTCCAGAGGGGGTCCTAGAGACCACGCCCTTACCAGGCCTT